ATTTCTCTGAAATCTGCAACATTCTCTGCAAAACACATAAAATTCCTTTTCATAGAAGATTTTCACCAGGACAAGACAGATCTGTTTCCCATCCAGGCTGTGGTTGCCTGCCAGACTCCTGAGGCTCTCCCTGCGCTGCGAGAAGCGCTAACAAAGGCGGCGATCTCTAAACTTGATTAATTACGTCTGCCCTGTGTGGGTATTCCCACAGCACCCTCAAAACTCCTCGGTCCTGCCCCAGTGAGCAGGAGGCGCACCGTAATCTCCGGGCTGGACTCTGCCCAGCGCTGTTGCCTGTTGTTTTCATCAGCATCCTCGCCCCAAGGATGGGCTGGAGGGTAGCCAAGTAGGATTTAGGGGTGCCGCTCCTCCCCAGGAGCTCATGAGGTCTGGGTATGCGAGACCTGGTGCCTCACAAGAAATACCAGCGAGGGGATGAGTTGGCTGGGGTGCAGCTCATCCAGGGGATGGTGGGGAGCACAGGACATGTGAGAAAGGCTCCCAGTGCTGAAACCTGGCTGCTGGGGGTCTTGCCCTGGTACTGGTGGCTCTGAGCGCCCTGGCAATGGCATGGGCATGCTGCAGAGCAGCACCAAGACCTGGCTCCAGGTCCCCACAGGTGTCCTGTGTATCCCGCATGAAGCATCGTCAGCAGCTGGAGAAATCAAGAGGTTGTTAAAGCATGAGGAAGGCAACCTGGGTTCAGTGGAGGATGAGCAGTGAAAGGTTTTGCTTTTCCTCCCCTGCTCCCCGAAGAGGTTCAGGTTTGAAATACCATTTCCTCTTACAGTTCGAGGCTCAAGCAAGCATCTGCTTCTTCTGCCGAGAAGAGAATTAAACCGCGTGAAAAGTTCACAACACTTAAAATTAGGAGTTAAATTTATGTAGCAGGTTTCGTGCAGGAATATAAAAGCAGTTCGTGGATGCCAGTTGAGCAAGCAGCACAACGTCCCTGTGATGGGACCGGCGCTTTTATTATCCACCGATGAGAAAGCAGGCAAGGGATGGTAAAATGGTTTTTCTGTGGAGAATACTGGAAGTGGGTGGAAACAGGACCTGGGCAGCCTGGGTCCCATGCCCCCACCCAACGGCTGGGGACCATTCCCAGATGCAGTGTGCTCCCCAAGAAGCAGTCGTCACTCAAGGATCTGGAGTGGCCTGAGCCTGGAAATATTTGACATGGTGCTCCTAAATCCAACAAAGGTCTGGGCCATCTCTGTGGGGATGCAGCAGTGCTTTACGCTGGCTTGAGGCTCTGACTCCATCCCTCTGCAAGCAGCCTGCGCACCCCTGCCAGACGGGGCTGGGCTCCCCTCGGCTCACTGCGCTGGCAAAGCTGCACAAACCAACTGTGTAGTTTTTGCCATCTGATTTTGATTGCTGCTGGGTAATTTGCTTTATTATTTAAAGTATCAAATGTTGCTGCGGGACAGCATTTTCCCCAGTACTTGCTCATATGCTGATTAAACCCTGACTGACTGCAGCATCACAGCAAACAGGAGCACGCCAGCAGAGAGCAACCCAAAAGGGCCAATAAAACAAACCAGGCAGGACTTAGTTTTTCAGGAGCAGCTGAGACTCGGAGGGGAAAAACACTCTTAAGAGAAAAGTTCCTGCAGCAAAACCATGGAGGAAAACCGAACATAAACCAAACACGGCCTCAAACTTAAAGGGATCAGCATAAGCAGGGGGTATTCAATGGCAGCCGCATCAGCTGACAGGAGAACAGCATGCCACACTAATTGGCTAGTGCTAATGAGGAGCTAAAGCCCCCTCCATCCCCCTACTCAATTCATGCCTGACAGGCCCTGAATGCAGCTGAGCCAGGGCAGAGCAGCGGAGTGGGCTGCACGGCCTTTGGAAAAGCACGTGTCCCAGCTCGGGGCTGCCTGCCCATCTGCGTGCCCTGCTTTTGATGGGTCACACTGCCACCTGCCACCGTGGGCTACCGAAAAGGTCACCTCGTGATGGGCTGGGGAGGCTGCCAGGAAGCCTGCGCCTCGGCGAGCACTGGAGGAGATGCCAGCCGGAGGTTTGGGGACGACGGGGAGGTGGCAGGCAGAGGCAGGGCTGTGGGCATGGCCACGCATGGCCGGCAGTGCGGCACCAACACCCCGTGGCTCCCTCCCTCTCACACACCCTAACGGAGCCTTGGCGGACACCCAGGTTTTCCCCTGCACCGACTTCCACGGGAGGGTAGCGGCGGCTCCGCAAGATGAAGCGTCATGATTTCAAATTTAAAAATACCCGTTCATATGGCCCCTGCTGACTGCTCCCCGCTCCAGCAGCTACTACTAAAGATACTAGAGACTGGGTAAACAGGAAGCATTTTCCACACATCCCGTTTGACTCCTGCGGCTCCGCTGCCACAGCAGTCCTGCTCCGTGCTCGGCTCTGCGTGCGTGTGGAGGTGTGGATGGCTGATGTCCCACCCAGGCACCGTGACCTGCGCCCATCCTGGGGCAGAGGACACAGGACAGATGGCCTAGAGCCAAGCGGCAGTTGCTGCAAGTGATAAAGTTTGGGTCTAGGGTTTTCCCCAAAGTTCACGGGCTTCAGTTTTGGAGTAGGTGGGGAGAAGTGTGAGGATGCTGGGAGCCTTTGTGAAGGCTCTGCACGTTGCAGGGTTGAGCCTGCGAGTCTGCTGACAGCGGACAAAGCTGTCAGGTCTGGACCTGAGTTTCCAGCGTCCAGCATGTCTGATCTGAAAGGAGCATCCAGCGCTGCCTCTCCTCACAGGCAGCGTGTGCTGTCCATGCAAGCCCTGTAACTTTCCACAGGGAGCTGCTGCTTAAGACTCAGCTCAGCCCCGAGCACAAAAACATTAACCCTACAGGTTAATGTAGCATGCACACACAAACACACGCAGCGTTTCATGCACAACCGAGCACAAACACGGGCTTGTGCCTAGAAGAGAGTCTCCTGGACAGATGCATTCCCAGGACGTCCATCAGCCGGCAACGCTCGCAGCAAGCAGCACGCTGTATGAAATCACCTATTGCTGGGGAGAATGATGGGCGGCAGAAAACAGCCTTCAAAAACCCGTCTGCCAAGGAAAACAAGTGGGGTCTTTCTTTAGCCATGCATTTATATAAATAAACACAGGAATATTTTGCAACTCCCAGGGGACTTGCCCAGAGTAATATTTTGCTGAATAAGGGTGGGAGTAATCCTGCGCTCACCGTAAGCCTGCGCACAAGCGCTCTGCGCTGCCCACACCGGGAGGACCCAGGCGTGTGCGGCGCGAGCCGGGGATGCGGATGACGTCCATGTCCCGGGGATGTGGGCTCCGGGGAAGCCTCCGACAACATGTGTCCCCAGACCCACGCCATGCGCTTTGCCGGGACAGAAGGAAAGCGTATGGGCTGCCGTGGGGGTCTCACTGCCCATGGCAGCAGCAGGCAGCGAGACAGCCTGGCAGCAATGGGGCCACTCGCTGGTCTTGTCCTCTGAGAGAATCAAGAAAGAATTACCACCTCCATAGACCTCGTGTTCCAAAATGTCTCCTTTTAGCATAAGGTCTGGGTCAAAGTTTCAAATTCCAATTAAAAAGTCTACTATTCCTCCTTTGGCTACCCAGAACCAAGGTGGTCACACATACACATATATTAAATTTGAAATCACAATCAGCTTTACACCACAATGGCCTTAAAAATTACGGAGCCGGGGCAGTCGTTTCCATGCCTCTCTCTGCTGTGCAGCGCTGAAGATGCCATCTTTGCTGGGTGATGTCCTGCAGGTTTAGTGGCCCAAACTGCCTATACCTCGCTCTTTCCCAACACAGGGACAGTGTGACAAAGCATCCAACAAACTGACTGACTCCTTCATTGTAACCCAAATTTCGTGGGGTGGCAAATACCCCAGGACATGCTTCACTGGCGCCTAACGCCAACATGGCCCCCCCTTGAGAAGATGGCTGCCAGCCCTGCCGTGCTTAGCACAGGCTGTGAGAGAGGCCCTGGTGCTGCGGGGACCCCACCAGCCCCCCACTCACCCCCTCCAAGCTGGAACGAGGGGTGGCTGTGGTGGGGGCTGCTGAAATGTGCCCCAAGCCAGTGAGGTGGGAGGGCGGCGGGGCGCAGGCCCTTTAGGGCCAGGGTGGGGG